CACACACACTTACAACCAGCTAGTCAGTGTTCCCTGTAATTATTCCAAGCAGTCCCAAGTTAAGATCCCAGTATGCGTGGTATCCCGCTGTTGTAAAGTGACAGCCTGGTGTTGCCCCGTTGAAAGGACACTGGATTCTCAGGAGAGAGGACCTGCAACCTTAATCCTAAAGGCCGATTTAGCAATGTCCCTTAGGCAGGTTTGTGGGTCCCAGCAGCTGGATATACTGTAAAAGGTTCTTTCCAGTTCTAATATTAAAATCACATGGCTAAATACAAATGTCAAGAATTGAAGTCAATTGCGTCCATCCTACACAAAATTAGAAGTCCTGGTCGGCTTCAGCAGTAGAAACTATAAATAATTTATAAGAACTGGATCTCTTATAGACCCAGGTTAGGCCCAGAATGAACCGGTGTCTCTAAAGCACTCAGACTACAAAGTGCTACATAAATACTCCCCCTCCCACCAGAATCAGACAGCACGGACGTCTCAGACGCTAAATATAGTGGGTTGTCTTCTTACTGGTTACTGTTGTTTATAAAAAACATGCCAGCACTTCACTGAGTCACTCTGGTCTAGCCAGTGGATCATTAATTACTTTTTTAATCCAAGGCACTCAAAAAAACAGGCCAAACGTTCTATCTAATGGTCAGGATTGCCTACATAATTTGTGGGGCCCACTGCAAAATGAAACCATAGGGCATCTTATAGAAAATTTCATAAGAGGGGCGCCTGGGTGGCTCAGTTGGTTAAGCATCTGACTCTTGATTTTGGCTCAGGTCACGATCTCAGGGTTGTGAGATCAAGCCCCGAGCCGAGCCCTGGGTCACTTAAGATTCTCTCTCCCTCTCCTTCTGCCCCTCCCCGCCCCCCACTGGCACATGCGCAGGCTCGCTCTCTCGATCTCTCTCAATCTCTCTTAGAAAGAACGCATAAGAATTTCAAGACAGCGAAAGCAGAGCATTAAACTGACCTTGGATCCTGCACAGCCATGAAGTCAGACCTGCTGTATTCCTGCTGTCTGCCTGCCTGCTGTCCTGCCACAGGTTTATGGTCTGGGAAAGTGATTTTCTAACTGAAAGATCAATGGCTAGAAATTCCACCAGATTGTCTGAAAGGATTTACAAAGGGCATCTAAGAGCAAAGTAAAGCAGGGATGCAGTGATGAACTGTTAAACTTGCAGTAGGCTAACATCCCATCCCACATGGAGAGCCTAGGGGCAAGTGGAAAACTCCTCCTGGCTGACAAGCTGGAGCTACGGACGTCAGTTCCAGTGGCCAGGCCCCGGGAGGCTCGTGCTGCTGGCCCGGGCCTGGTGGAAGGTGTGACCGAGGATAGTATGACAGGAGTGAGGTTAATGAGGGAAGAAGGACGACAGGGAGGACTTGGGAGGAAGCAAAGGCTAAAACCCCACCCTCTTGGCTACTGTTTCCCACCAATATCAGAAACTCAGGTTTTGATCTCTAGGGCAGTGGTTCTTATCCCTTTTTATTCCCAAATGCTTTGAAAATCTGATGAAAACTGTGGCCACCCCCCCCCCCCCCAATGCACGCATACACAGCAGTTTTCATACAACTTCCCCAAGCCTGTTCTTAGACCCCGGGGTTAAGAATGGCTGATCTATGATTTTCTTGGCTGAAAATGAAGTAACTCATTTCAAACAACAAATTTTCAAGTTGAGTTGTTCTAAGAAGGCAGGCAGGCAGGTGCCTACCTACTAATGGGTCTGCTAAATGTGTTGTACTCGGGTCCTGAAGAACCATGCCCTAAAACCCCAAGCCGGCTGGAGGCTGGCTCTCTGCTCACCCTGCATAACTGTCCACGGCCGCCGCGCACTCACAGAGAGAGGGAGCAGCTTTACTTACCGGGAGAGCCTATGTTTTATTCAGGGTTTTCCAAACCAAGGGCTGTGATTAAGTAGTGGGTCACGAAATTAATTTAGTTGGCCGTGACCAGCATTCAAATTTTAAAAAAGGAAGAAAAATAGCCTAGAAAATATCAAGGCATCTCATGTAATCAAGTTACTGTTTCATGAAACATTATCTGAGCATTTGCATACATTGAGTGCCGTGTATATGCATTTCTTACTGTGAATTGTGGGGACGAAAAAAGTTTGAAAGCAACTACTGCTTTCCTCAGATTTGTAGCGGGCACATGCCAGGCCCTCAAATACTTGCCCAGTGAATAAATATATGTAGATATCATATCTGCAAGAGGCCGAAATACATTTTCAATCATGCCATTTCCATCCTCCCAGGGCTATATCAGGGTTATCTGTTTCTGATCAAACTTCTGTTTTCTAATTTTTTATCCTTTCTCTCGGAGTCTGAAGATGTTCATTTCTACTTCTAGAACTCTGAGAGTTTGAGGGTGGGGCGGGAAGTTTTATTTAGTGTAGATTGTAGGAAGGAAACTTTTTTGTTCCAGTTGAGAGCACTAACCTAGTCATAGAACCAAAAAAGCAATATACTTTTTTTAAGAGAGAAAGGTAAAATGGAGAGATGAAGGTAGATACAGCCAGAGGAATGTTTAATTGCTTTTTTTTGTTTTTCTTTCCTTGCCTCCTTTCCTTTGCTCCCTCCATCAACAAATATTAACTGAGCAGCTGCATGCCAGGCAAGGGGCCAGTTGCTGGGAATACGGAACAAGAAAAATAGACACCGCCTGCCTTCTTGGAGTGCACACTCCAAATTCCAAATAAGCCTTCGTTGTATCATATCAGGACGGCCGGGGCGCGTGAAGGCAGAGTTCAGAAAGCCGTGGGAGGCTTCCCAGGTCCCTCCCTGAAAGGTGGGTTGGAGTTCACAGAGGGGACTGTGGCTTATTCCAAGAATGGAGAAAAGGACAGGGGGCCACGCTGGAGAGGTGGGCAGGGCGCACATCTTGCCGACCAGGTTAAGGATGTTGGCCTCCTTCCTAGTAACCACCTGCAGGAAGGCACTTTTAAGAAGGGTCAGGTGATCACATTCTGTTTGGAGTCACAGAGGGTGGATCGGATGGGGAGAAGAGATGGATGGCGGAGGCCACCAGGAGACCCCCGGTCAAGGTGAGAGGTGATGGCAGCTTGCCGCTGGCCCTGGCAGAACAAAGCGGGTGACAGGGGTGGAGCTGGGACCCACCCAGTAAGACAGAGAAGCATGGCGGAGGAGGAAGGAGTCAAAGTGACTCTTAGGTGTTTGCTACTCGAAGTGTGACCCACAAACAGTTTGGCTCTCAGCAAGGTGGGGGTCACAGGAAAAGATGATGTGGGATGTCTCTGAGCCGAGGTCTGAGCTAGAGCCATCAACTTGAGGGAAAGACAGCCTTCAGGAAGACAAAGGGAGCCGACTCAGAGCCGAGCACACACTCCCCAGGGACAAAGCCAGGAACCACACACACATCAAGGGAGACAGCGAGTCAAAAAGATACACGTGGTGGTGGAGGTGGGGGAGGACAGTGAGACCAACAGAAACAGACTTCCATGAGGTAATTGCTTGTGGCTTCCCTGGGTGTCGAAAAAATGTATTTTTAAGCGGAGTTGCAGTTTGACAATTATAGGTGGAAATGAGGCGAGCACTTCTTGGCCAGATAAAAATAAAACCCATGGCCAGAGACCGCTCTCCTCTGGCTTAGGTCCAGTCTACCTTTGCCTCAGAAGGAGGTCTTCGAGCAGCGCACACAGACACTGGGCTGGAGTCCCATGGCGCCCACCCGGGATAGGCGGAGAAAGGGCCCCAGGGCCCCAGAAATTCTGTCATTGAAACATTCCTGTTGCTGGGAGATGCGCCTTCCAAACGATCTCATCAGACACACGGTCTCTCTTTTTTGAAAACCATTTTTAAATAAATGTGCGGAATAAAAAAGACACATTTAAAAATGATTTTAAATGCGTTATTGTCAATTATCAGAGTCCTCTAACAAAGCATTTTTTCTCAAGTGCTGATATAAACTACTCCCACTCTCATGTGAGGGTATCTGACCCAATCATCCAGAAAGTCGCACAGGGTGAGGCCCTTGCAGGGTTCTGTTTCCTATTGTGGTTTTTTTTCATTCCATGGTTATAAATTGGAATTCTGATTATGAATTGGCTGCCCAAGTAGCTTGGCCACAGGCAGAGAAAGGGGTGGTTTTGCATGGTGGGAGAACTCTGGCCCCTGGGACAGGAAGTCACAGTCATTTGCTGAAAACGAACACAGTGGCATCCTGGCTTTGCTCATTCAGTGTGGGAGCTTGGCTAACAATGTCACAAAGGGATGGCTCTGTCCCCACCCCACCCCCCCTACACTGGCAGAACCCGGACCTCACTCCTGTGAAGTGCAGGCTCTGAGACCAAGGCTGCTCACCTCACCCGCCTTGTCTCATTTTGGGTGTGAGCCCTCCCGCCATCCCAGCCTCAACTGCGGTGACTCACGAGAACGAGATGTGTGACCTCACTCAGACTTGGTGGGCCGGGCAGGTTACTTGATTATTCCCACTCTTGGGTCCAGATGGTCTCAGATCGACCCAGTTCAGCTGTCTGCGGACAATGGGTTGTAAGGGGGCTGGGGCCTCTCCTTGGGCAGCAGTGATGCCACCAAAGGACGCCTTTGGGAATCTGAAGCCCCCTGCCCCACAGGGATGAGAATGACGAGGACTCACCCTACAAAGTCATGGGCAAAATTTCTAAAAAGGTATGTTAGGATGTTGTTTCCCACTTTTCTCTCGAAGAAACTGCTGATGAATTTTAGCCAGAAAGTCAAGGACAGGTTGGACACTGGTCCAGCCGGGATCCACCTCTGAGGGCCCCTTGCTTGCCCCTGACACCCCAAGGCAAGGCTCCCACTCCTCCTGTCCTCGCTCACATGCTTGCCCACAGTCCCACTTTTGCCCACGGACAGTCCCTTGTCACCTGTGGGCTCTCTTGAAGGACTGGCTTCTTCGTCATTCTCTATCCTGTGGCTCTAGCACTGGGGACAGACCCTGTTTGTGGCGGGACTGGAAATGGACTCCTCGTTAGTGGCAACTCAGGACAACAACTCACCCTGCTCACCACGAAGCTCAGCACTCTTCTTGGTGTCACTGTGTAAACTGTAAGGAGCTGGACTAAGGAGGGGCGTGAGCGTGCTGGCAGTGGGGCCACCTGCTGGGTGAAGGGAGCAGAGTTACTGTGGGGTCTGCCCTCTGGCTGGCATCCTTGGCAGCTCCTGGGGTGGCATGTCCTGTCCTAGGACTGCCTGCTCTCGGCCCCCTGCAGGCTTCTGACCCCAGCGCCGCTGAGGCCCCCCCATTCACCACCCTCCCTTCCCCCATGTTTGCCTTTTTTGCTCCCTCTTCTTTATTTCTCTTCCTATGATTTTCTAGCACTTCCCCACCCTCTTTCCTTTCTTCCCTCTCTGTGTCTGACTTCACAGACACCAACCAACCACTCCCAGCTGGACATGATAGCCCTGGCTCTCTGCAGCTGGTCCCATTGTTTCTGGGTCCTCATGTTTAAATGGCTATGGATCGAGTTTCGAACCAAGAGCCAGAGGCTTCCAGGCAGTCAAACTGAGTTATGTACTGTACAGACTCAGGTCAGCATGCCGTGATTCAATTAAAATATGTGAACTCCATTTTTCTTTAAAAGCATTAATGTTTAACATGGGGAAATAATCATACTTTCAAGAGATAAAGGGCTCAAACACTCATTCTCCTTTGCCCCAACGCCATGAGTTCAATGAAGCACGGAGTCCTGCTGGCTCTTCCCCTGAAATATTTCTGGAATCCATGCATGTTGTCTTTCCATCTCCATGGTCACTTCCCTAGCCTGGGCCAAGGGAACCTGCCCCCCAGCCTGGGGCAGCAGTCCCCCCACCCATCTCCTTGGCTGTCTTGCCACCATCCATTCACTGCTGGTAATGGACAGAGGCACTTTCTGAAACACAGAGTTGATAAGGTCACTGTGTTGTCTCCTGCTCTTGGGGTAAGATGGAGACTCCTCCCCAGGTTTGGAAGGTGCGTGCTTACCTCCTGCCTCTCATTTAAACCCTCTCTGCCTGGACTCTCCACGTCAGCCTCTTCCTCGGGTCCCTCCTTTTGCCTGACAACCCGTGCTCATCCTGTGCTTCTCAGACTGGATGCTCCTTCCTCTGGGTTAGGAATCACTCCTGCGTGTTCCCACATGACCCTGTACTTTCCCATTATTCATCTGCCTCCCTGTTCCATGGGTGTGTGTGTACGTTCCTCGGGGGACACCTGTAAGCTCCTTGCAGGCAGGAAGGACCCTGTTAACCACATTCACCATGGTCTCCCCAGTGCCTGTCTCACACAGGGCCTGACGATAGACAGTCAGTAGATATTCCTTCAACAGCTGAAAGAAGTGTTTACACAGTCACGCGTACAGCCCTAAAGGATCATGAGCCTACAAGTCCACTGCTTCCCTGAGCACAGGATTTTAATAATCCCAGGCACACACACTGGCGACTTTCTATCCTATAGCAAAGATTCAGTGTGATCAAAGATGGAAAAAATGCAGGTTTTTTGTTCAGCTAATTGGACTGAAAAACCTATGAATCAGTTACCAATAAGCAATGGTTTTTCAGGCACAAACCACTTGTAGAAAACTGGTTACTTTTATCATGTGATAAACGGCATACCACTCTATTACGATATTGTTGTGATTTAACTCCTAAGAGTCAAGAATATGCTCTGTAATACCACCTTATTTTTGCCCACTTTCAGTGGAAAGGTATGGGATACAGACCATTATATAACGCATGTGGGGCTGGGAAATGATCTTTGCTTCAAATTTAAGACAATGCCAGGTTATCCTTTGTGGGGAGGTTTTAATTTCTTTAACAACACTAAGGGTTGTTTTCTTCCCAGTATTTCTCAGCAGTATAAAGGGATCAAGACAAGAACAATGGGAAGGAAGGGATTCTCAACAACTTTTAAGTAACTTTCAAGATGGATTCTATCTACCCAAGAGCACAGAGAGGCGGCGAAGACGAGGCTCACACAGCAAATCCTACCTCTGAACCGGCCCGCCCACCTCACAGGAAGCTGTCTCTGTGCTGCACACCTGCATTTGTTTTGAGAGAGAAAGAGGAAGAAAAAGAGGAAGGAAGAAGAACAAGCCCAGTGTCATTTGTTTTCTTAAAAAAAAAAAAAAAGCTTTTAAAAATGGCATTCTTGGACGCCTGGGTGGCTCAGTCAGTTAAGCATCTGCCTTCGGCTCAGGTCATGATCTCAGGGTCCTGGGATCCAGCCCCACATTGGGCTCCCTGCACAGTGGAGAGCCTGATTTTCCCTCTGCCCCTCCTCCCTGCTGTGCGTGTGCCATCTCATATAAATAAATAAAACCTTTAAAAAAAAAAAACCCAAACCAAAAAACAAAGGGCATTCTTGAAAAAAATGTTACTGTTATTACTTGAAAAAAAAAATCAACACAATCCATCTGGTGGGTGGTGGAGTGGGGAGAATATGTTACCTGTCATCCTCAGAAGTCTATTTTCTAACAAGTGAAGAGTCTAAACAAGATTTAACCAAGGGTTCTTAACTTCTTATGTGTGCTGTGAACCCTGTCAGTTGCCTCATGGAGCTTACAGACACCCCCCTTCTCCGTGTGCTTTTAAATTCATAAAATACATGAGAGGACAAAAGAAACCAATACTAAGTATTATTTTCAAAAGAATTTAGAGTTGTGACATAATAAAATGCATGTTTATTTGTTAACATGCCAGATAACAGAAGCTATAGTTTATCGGCCGCCGTGATTGTGGAGCAGCGACAAATGGAAATGTTAGTCTGAGCATCTGCCACCGCGAGGGCATCAGAAAACGTCTGTGGTCTCTTGTGGTGACTAGCACTACTCGTGTGGTTTGTGGCCCGGATTCATGATTGAAGGAAATATTAAATTTCCTTGAGAGGTTCATGAGAATAAAGATGTGATTGTTTTTCCCATCCAAGCTCACAGATCCTGAATTCCATCCACGATGCCCAGATCAGGAATGAAGCAAACTCTAGAAGCAAGGTGCTTGGTCCCTGGTCAGGCCCTGTCCTTGGAGGGAGCCAGGCCCGTGGAATAAGCTGCACTTGGGCAGCAGGGGACCACAACCCTGGTCTGCCCATCCTCACAGCAACTGAGCTCCGACCCTGAGCCCGTCGGGGCCTTGCTGTATCCAGGCCGTCGGGGTGGATCACTGAACTCTCTCCCATGTGGGGCTCACAGCTTCCACTCAAGTTGCTGGTACCTTCTGATTCAAGTAAGCAGCTCACCTCATTAAACCCTCCCCTTGGATCTTAACGGACCTGAGCCCTGAGAAGGCCCCATCCAAGTACAAGAAGTCTGTGGTATGTCAATTCAGGGGGTAATATAACCACACAGTACAGTTTCGGGAGGGTACTATAACCGTCATATGCACACACGAGAGATTTTTAATAATTTAAAGTTCTTACACATGTCCCTCATCTTGTTAACCTTTCAATAATCCCGGGACAATAACTAGCATGCTGAATTTACTTAAGACTGTGCATGGGTCCAGCGAAGTCATGGTAGACACCCTCTCTACTCATCCTGGAGCCTTCAGAAGCTCTTAGAGGCTGGTGAACAAGGGTGACTCATCTTCCTACTCTCCCTGCACGCCGCAGCCCTGCCCGGAGCCCAGGCCCAGAGCCGCACTCAGTGTTGGATGAGTGGCATGTTTCTACCAGGCTGGGATAGAGGTTACCGTCTTTCCTCCCATGTTAAAATCTTACCGTCCGCCTACCGCTCTCACCTTCCGGCTCAGCTGAGTTTCTCCCTGCGCTGCATCTGTGCATTAAAGCTTTCCCATAGGGCTTGGGAGAATGCCTTCTCGTTCAGGCTACTTGAGTCTTGCTGTGTGACCGTTTGCAAGTTCCTGCCCTCTCTGAACCAGAGTTCTCTATCCAGTGGGGATGATGCTCTCCACCCCGACTAATGCACAGCCTGGTTGTGAGCAACAGATGAGAGACCATATGGAACCACCTCCTAAAGTAAAAAGCCCTACATAAATACATGATGTTATCATAAAAACCCAAGAACTATTTTAGTATACATTGTTTCTGTGTATTCATTTCCCTTCCTTAATAAAAAATATAAAATCTCATGTTTATAGACACATTAGTAATTTTTTTTGCATTACTAATTTTTATTTATTTTATTTTTTAAAAGATTTATTTATTTATTTTTAGAGAGTGAGAGCATGCATGCAATCAGGGGGCAGGGCAGAGGGAGAGGGAGACAAGCAGACTCCCCACTGAGCAGGGAGCCAGATGTGGGCTCCATCCCACGACCTTGAGATCATGACCTGAGCTGAAATCAAGAGTCGTCTGCTTAACCAACTGAGCACCGAGGCGCCCCACATTACTAATTTTTAAATAAGTGATTCTTCTTCCCCTTTTCCCAACTTAATCTTTCCATGTCAATTAGTCTTTTATTTAAAACACTTTTCAACGTTTTGAAAATAAAATAAAACTTAACGTATTCTAACAAACCAAATTATTTTCATAGCTTTTTCTTTTTAATGTACAAACCTGTACTAAGCTTTCAAAACAAGAGCGCACAGGTTATTGGTCACTATCCAAGTGTTCAGCCTTTAACAGCTCAGTCCTGTCCGACTGCTACTGACAGTGGGTGGAATTTTGTGAAACATTAATTGTTTAACACCCAACAGCAAGCAGCTGGATCAGCTGATGGCCTCAGATATGTTGGAAGAAGAAACTTCATGGCTGGTGATGTACTTTGCCTCCCTAACTCCCAAATCCATTGCTGGAGGACAATTTCAATTTTGGGCAGCTAAAGAAAACAACAGACTGTTGGACTATAAGACACTATATTGTAAAAAGATGAATAGACACACAGCCTTAGAAACTGACTGGTCTTCAGTCTTCGAGTCTCCCTGCAGGTGACGGATTGGATAATTTCAGCAAATACTCACTTTCCTCCCTCTTGAGTGGAGTATCCTTCCCTGGCCCACTGACAGATCATGGTCATGGTCAGAGGGTCATCTGCCTTTTTGGCCAATGGAGGCTTAGCGCATGTGCTGTAAGCAGAGGCCTTAAGAGCCACTGCTGGCTTTGGTGCCCATCATGCGGCCAGTGACCCCACCGTCAGGAGAACATGCCCCTGCTAGCTGCAGT